TGGGGGCGGCGGCCGCAGTAAGGCGGTCGCTGTATTGGTCCGTTGTGGTGAAGAAGGAGCTGAGCCGAAAGGCGAAGCTCTCGATTTACCGGTCAAGCTACGTTCCTACCCTCACCTATGGTCATGAGCTTTGGGTCATGACCGAAAGAACGAGATCCCGGATACAAGCGGCTGAAATAAGCTTTCTCCGCAGGGTGGCAGAGCGCTCCCTTAGAGATAGGGTGAGGAGCTCTGTCACACGAAAGGAGCTCGAAGTAAAGCCGCTGCTCCTCCACATTGAGAGGAGTCAGCTGAGGTGGCTTGGGCATTTACATCGCATGCCCCCCGGACGCCTCCCACGGGAGGTGCCGTCCCTCTGGGAGGAGACCTAGAGGAAGACCTAGGACACGCTGGAGCGACTATGTCGGTCGGCTGGCCTGGGAACGCCTTGGGGTCCCCCCAGAAGAGCTGGAGGAAGTATCGAGGGAGAGGGAAGTCTGGGTGTCCCTGCTCAGACTGTTGCCTCCGCGACCCGGCCCCGGATAAGCGGTTGATGATGGATGGATGGATGGATATAAATATGCAATTAAAACATATTTTTACAATATAATAATAATAATAATTAGGGCTGTCAAAGTTAAGACAATGATTGTGTTAATTATTTAGTTAATTAATTAATCAAGATCAATCTCCCTAATATCTCATTTTAACACATTGTGAGGGTCTGTAGACTGATTAAACTTTCTTAGGACAACGATCTAAACAAAGTTTAAAAAGCAACTCTCAACATGTTCTACAAACAATCATGCCGCTGCACAGTAATGACTAAAATTCACCTACGTCAGGAAAAAATATACTTTGTAATAAGAAAAAAAAGCTTTTTGTCACATTTAGGAATGACAATTTACCTTGATTAAACAAGATTAATTGTGATAATTTACAATTGTGATGAATCAAGATCAATAAGGATTAATCTACAGCTGCCCTGTAAATAAAATGATTCATAATTGAAATAGATTGACAGTAACAATAAAACATAACAACATACAGAGGTGAAATTGACAACACATTTTTAAAAAGTATTTGCTAAATGTTAGCCATAAATAAATATTGTATAGAAATTAGTCATTGCTAAAATGCACAATATAGAAATCAGACAAATATCTCAAAAGCAACAATGCTAAATGTTAGCACACAAACTGCTTAAAGGTAACCATATAAGAAACAATAAATAACCACAAATTATGGCCATACAAAAAGTAGCATAGGGTTACATGCATCGAAACTAAAAGTATATTATTATAGTACGTAATAATATATGAATCCTTGGAGAACTAAAAAAATAGCAAAAAGAGCCATCAGCTGTTCATTTACAGAAAAAATGATTGGCCTGCTGTCCAAACATTGAACACTTGTCAGTGCTGTACCTCAGACGACTGTGAGCTGTGGGGGTGACGGAGGCAGTAGGTGAGGAGGACAATGAAAGTGGAGATGAGGCTGCGCTGATACCCATCAGGGAGGATGAGGAGGCGACATCTGGAGCTGACATGTCTCTCTTTATCTCCTCGCTGCTCCTGCGGGACACTGCTATAGAAACAACAAACCGTTGAACTTTACTCAGCCTCTGACAGGGAGAATAAAACATCACTGAGGCATCCCTAACCTGAGATTGCCTTACTGGAATCCATGTTGGAGACCCTCTGAAAAACAGATGGAGGTCTGCTGGCTGAGGCCCCCCTGAGAAGATGCTCAGCTGTGGACGCCCACACACACACAAAAGCAAGAATAGCACAGGATTTACATCAGACACAGTGTTTCTATACGGCATTTCCTGTGAAAGGAGCGGGGTCAATAAAAAGCCACATTCCAGGACCCCAGAGTTGCGGGAATACCGAGGCACGAGGAGGAAAGAAAACTATAAATCAGTGAAAAATAAACCCATCTTGTGAGGTTACAGTGGATTCTGTACGTTCACATGCAGCACTTGAACTCATTACTGGTAAGAATGAAACTGAGGGAAGTTCTACATAAAGTGCTGCCTCATTATTTGCTGCTTATCATCCTCAGCTCTCGAGTTGTTGTAATGAAGAAATACCATCAATTAAACCTGCTGACTCTTAATATCAGCGGGGGGGGGGGGGGGGGCGGCTC